ACCGTTAAATACCATATTGATACTAAGCTGATCTCTTCACTGGATTCTCAGATCTGAAACCCTCAACTATGTTTCTTATGAAATACCAATTTTACTCTGTAAGCTTCTCCTTTATATACATAGATTTGAATCTTTTTGTTATTGCATTTAGAAATCTCTTTTATTTACATATCTAAACTTTCAGATCTATTTTGTTCAAAAGTTTTTTTTCTAACGTTCAGCTTTCTTGTTGAGGTACCGTTTATGCTCTCTCTGATTCCATTTTTTTTAGAAAATAAACAATTTCAGTAGTTTATTTTTAATTCATATCAGATTGAATTTTATTTTTAGATCTGAACAGAGTAAAATCAATATTATTCTTTTTTATTGCCTTTTAACACTAGACTTTTAGTAATAAAAATAAAAATAGTATTATATAAATTAAAATCCTATTAAGTAACCAATTAGGCTTCTTAGTACCCTCAATTCTCTATCGTTTTATTGGTGCAACTTCTTTATGCTTCGATCTTCTTTTTCATAGTTCCTCATAGCTTCGGCTATAGATGATTACTTGAGGTCATGTCCTTCTTTTAGATCCCATAGGGCGTATAGGGGGTGGGCCCTACAGAGTGGTGTCAAGGAGACTAGACTTAGAGTTTGTATGTTGAATGTAGGCACATTAAATGCTAGGCTGCTGGAGCTGACCGACGTACTAAGTAACAGGAAAATAGATTTTGCATGTATTCAAGAGACTAGGTGGAAAGGGGCTCGCGCCAGAGAGTGTAACGGGTACAAGTTGTGGTATTTAGGCATAGATAACGTTAGAAATGGGGTGGGTATCTTGGTATCCTCTAGGCTCGGAAAATGTAGTTGAAGTTTGTAGATACAGTGATAGATCATGATGATTAAGGTTATTTTAGAAGCGGAAGTGGTGAATGTCTTTTCAGTGTAAGCCCCACACGTAGGCCTAGGGAGGGGGAGAAACATTGCTTATGGGATTCGTTAGATGATGTACTTAGGAGCATTCCGGAGGACCAAAGAGTTTTCATAGGAGGAGATTTCAATGGCCTTATAGGTAGTGCAATCGACAGGTATGACAGTGTTCATAGGGGTTTCGGTTTTGGTAGTAGGAACGAGGAGGGGCGCACGTTGCTTGATTTTGCTACTGCACACGATATGGTGGTCACTAACTCCTTCTTTAACAAGAGAGATGTGAACTTGATTACGTTCCATAGCGGGGGACAATGTACCCAAATCGACTACATCCTTGTTTGAAATCGGGATCGATGGGCTTGCATTGACTGTAAGGTGTTCCCTAAAAAGGCATGTGCATTACAACACAGATTGTTGGTTTTGGTGTTCTGCGTACGCCACGGGCAAAGCACTCATAGGAGGGCTAAACTAGGTAAACCTAGGATCCTTTGGAAGAACTTACATGGAGTGACAGCTGATGACTTTAGGAGTAAGGTTTTGTCTCATACAGGTTTTGGAACTACAAACTCAAATAATGCATATATGTTATGGAAAAATATGGCAAATTCCATCAGAGAGGTGGGAAAAAACACCCTTGGGTTGTCGACATGGAAGGTCAAGAAACATAAAGAATCGTGGTGGTGGAATGAAGAAGTCCAAACTAAGGTAAAGACAAAAGAAACTTGCTTCAAGAAGTTTCTACAATGCAATGACGACGAGGAAAGATCGAGAGCTAAACATAGATACAAGGAGGCAAAGCGGGAAGCCAAGAAAACAATGGCTAAAGCAAAGGATAAGGCATACGAGGAAATGTACAAGAGATTAGACACCAAGGAAGGACAAAACGATATCTTCAGGCTTGCAAAATCCAGGGAGAATAAGAAAAAGGATCTAGGCAGCATTAGGTTTATTAAGGACAAAAATGGTGTTCTTTTAGTGAAAGATCATGATACTAAGAGGGTTTGGGGTAGTTACTTCTTCGGATTATTTAATGATGATGCCTCTCCCTGTAGAGATAGTACCGTTGATGGATCAGCCGACCATCATACTACGGCCAATGACTGCCCTACAAGTAGGATTGGGATTGAGGAAGTCAAAATGGCTCTTAGAAAGATGGGGAGGACAAAGCTGTCGGTCCATATCAAATTCCTATCACTGTGTGGTTGGCCCTAGGAGAAGATGGAATTAAGTGGTTGACCAACATCTTTAATATTATTTTAGAGACCGCCAAGATGCCAGAGGATTGGAGAGAGACTACGGTGATACCAATCTATAAGAATAAAGGAGATCCCCAACGTTGTGGTAACTATAGAGGTATTAAACTACTCAGTCATACCATGAAGCTATGGGAAAGGGTGATAGAGGCTAGGCTGAGACTGATTACTAGGGTTTCGAAAAACCAATTTGGCTTTATGCCAGGCAGGTCTACTACGGAGGTGATTCATCTACTTCGACGGCTTATGGAGAAATATATGGAAAAAAATATAGATCTTCACATGGCGTTCATTGATCTTGAGAAGGCGTATGACAGCGTTCCCCGCGATATGATCTGGAAGACCTTGGAAACGAGACGGATCCCAACTACTTATATCCGGGTGATTCATGATATGTACTATAGATCTTCTACACACGTCAGGACTACAGTTGGCGACACCGAGACTTTCCCGGTGGAAATCGGACTCCACCAAGGGTCGGCTCTTAGCCCTTACATCTTCGCCTTGATTATGGATGACGTCTATTGTGTGACTCCAGACGGTGTTCTATGGTGTATATTTTTCGCTGACGACATTGTCCTAGTTGCTGAAACAAAAACTGAGCTGAATGGTAGACTGGCTACCTGGAAGACTGCCTTGGAAGAAAAAGGTCTAAGGATCAATATTCAAAAGACAGAGTATTTATGTTCAAACTTCAGTGGGAACCAAAATGATGAAGATGTAGAAGTATGCATCGAAGGACACGTTTTCCCTTCAAAGGATTGTTTCAAGTATCTAGGGTCTATGATACATAAAGATGGGGGTGTAGATGATGACGTTACACACCGTATAAAGGCGGGATGGCTAAAGTGGAGGGCTGCAACTGGAGTTTTGTGTGACAAGAAGATGCCTCTAAAACTTAAGGTAAAATTTTATAGAATGGCAATAAGATCAGCGCTGCTGTATGGATCAGAATGTTGGGCAATCAAGAAGGATCACTTAAGGAGGATAGAGGCCGTAGAAATGAGAATGCTTCGATAGGCATGTGGTAGGACTCTGTGGGACATGACACCAAACTCTGCAATTAGGAGGTCTTTGGGGGTGGTGCCTGTATCTGAAAAATTGAGGGAGGGAAGACTACGGTTGTTTGGGCATGTTCTTAGGCGACAACTGTCGGATGCGGTCAAGAGGGTAGAGTCGATAACAGTCGACGGTGCCAGAAGGAGAGGACGACCAAGGAGGAAGTGGGTAGACTGCTTGAGATCTGATTTGAAGGATTTAGCCCTTACCGAGGACATGACCACCGATAGGAAAGTATGGAGACTTAAGACCAGGGTAGCTGAGTAGTGTGGGCATCTCAGTCTTCTTTTTTTAATGCCTTAGTAGTAATTTCAATGAATTCTACTTTTTATATGTTTCTGTCATTGGAATTTATGTAGGCTTAGAATTAGGGTGGCGGAGTAGTGTTACCTTAGTTTAGGTTTTAACCATTTTAACTTTATTCCTTATCACAGCTTGTTATCGCTGACTTCTGTTTATCCTTCTCTTCATGTTTCCTCTTTTAAATTTAGCCGGGACTTACGTTTCTGTCTATAAGCAGAGATTTTCATGCAGAGATTTATTTGCAGGGATTACTTCAAATTACAGATGCGCATATGAAGACATCATATGAAAATTGTTCAGCTATTTCAACTATGTATTTATTGACTTATTTATCCATGCATTGTATTTTATCTTTATTTTTAATTTTCTTACTGCCGGAGGTCTTCCACAGAAGCTGCTCTCAACCTGACGTTGGGGGCAGCCTACTACCCCCACCTCCCCCTTACCCCATTGCATATGGGAATATGATTTTGTTGTTGTTGTTGTTGTTTTATTAGTTTAAACAAACTTTCCTAATTATATTTTATGTACATATATATTTTTCATATTTATATTCATTTTCATAACAATATAAGTACGATTTATGATATTATGTATTAAGTGTCAATTACAATTATAAAATATATTTATAATTTATTTTTTTAAAAATAAAGATAAAGTATTGATAAAAATATAAAAGAATAAGAATTTGATAAAAAGACATTATAAAAACAATTACGATCGAAAGATAAAACTGAAATAAAAATAAAAATTAGGATTCAAATTGAAATTAACTTGAATTTAATCTCCTTTAAATAAAATCTAAATCTTAAATTTATAAATTAATATGAATAAAAATCTCAAATTTAAATTAATAAACAATATGATTGGAAAAAATTTATTTTTCAAAGTCCATAATTGAAAGGATGATTATTATCCTTAGAGATTTCAAGTTCGAACACATCATTTATAAGAATTGTTGAACGTTCGTTATCAAATAGTTAAGAATCTTTCAAATAAATATTACCTTGTATCACCCCATACTAATAAAAAACAATGCGACTAAGAAAAGGTAAATGAGTGGCAGGTTGGAACATTGTCAATTGATGACCAAAACAATTCATATGTAGGTAATATTCTAACACAAGCATTTGGCATCTTTCCCCACACATTCAGATGCCATGTTGTGGTCATTTAAAAGCTGTCTCAGACACAACACATGAGCATTGGTAAAAGTGTTTTTGGTTGAGAAAATTGCTCCACAACCTGCCAACACTTTCCAACTTCTGCAATGATAATATCAATGTCTAACCTAATTACATTACCAGATAAAAAAACACAATGAAAAAACTGTTTTTAGGGTTAACATTTTGAATAATTTGGATACCATCTTCCAAGCTAGAAATGTATTTGATCCAATGTTACAAGTAATCACTTCCTGAAATTACAAACAACAATTTTATCGGTATTCATCAAATCCGAAGACGACTTCCTAGACCATGGTTGCACGAAAATATCATGCAAGTCATTAAGGAGAATACTAAGAAAGAATCAACAGATTTTTAGAAAGCAATAGTTCAAAATCACACCTTAGCAAACAGCTAGGATGATAAGGATGTCTGATGTCCAGTTCAATAAGAACAAAATGGAGCCACATCAAATTAATTGAAAGAATAACCTCAGCTCTGCACCCCTTGAGTTCTCCTTATCCAGTCTAGGATATCGGAGCAATCTTCGCGGTGGACAAAATGCCTTCATATTTTGTTAGAAAAATGGAAATGAATAACCCTTTTAGCCAATTCGTAAGTCACAGATACGAGACAAAATATAAAAATCTGAGCGCGTATGCTCATGTCCCTTCTATACTAACCACAAGCATGTAAATGGACACGCTCAACTTACTGAGTTGAACAATACCTGTTCTTAGCACGATAAGCCTTTAGATCAAAAGCTTCTTGCTTGCTCGACATGTCTTTTTTCATTTGGAGTGATTCAGGCACATATAGAGTCTCGCTTTGGACATGGTACGAATCCTGAATGAAGTTAAGCACCTTATCCTGAAACATTTGACCTTAGGAATTTAGAAAAAGGGTTCCAAAAGGTTTTCAATTAAAACATTCAAGCATGCGATTTGGTCCTCAGCATCTGGCAACCATAAAGTCGTATAAATTCCGAACCAAAAATAGAACAGGAGATGTTTGTACATCACTTGGCTTGACTATGCTAAGTATTAGTTCAATGGCATGGTTGCTGAAGCAGGTCCTAGAGGTTGCAGATTTGAGGACCTATGCACGTAATATTCTCTTTAGATTAGTTACGTAGACAAGTGTATGGGAAAAAAACTATGCACGAGGATTTAACCATCCTCGATAATTGTTAGAAAGTACTAACTTGTTAAGAAAAAAAAACCTAGGAGTGAGATACCAGTGGTCTAGAAGCATTGAGCCAGTAATAAATATGCTCAATTCGGAACCATGTCAGTGTCTTTTGGCGAAATTCCTGCAAAACAAAAGGGTAAATGACCTCGTATCTGCAGGATACAAATTTCTACTTGATGAGCTCAGATTTCAAAATTCATCATACAGTTCTTATGTAATATGAAAAGACGAAAGGAATTACTGTTTAATGTATGAAAAGATAAAAATAATTAGTTTTACCTAATATAATGCTGTAAAAACGTAATAGTAGAAAAAACAAATAGTAGGATATGACAGAAACAAATTCAGATTTGTAATGCAAAATGAATAATTGTTGCAACTAAAGTCAAATGTAATACCTAGAAGCTTTCTGAAATTCAGCTAAAAAATAATAAGTCTCTAGTGGAACTCATGCCCCCTTGTTCCCTACAATGCAGTAGGTATTCCACTGCCTGAAATCATTTGGTAGAAAAAACCGAAGAAAAAAATGAGCCTTGCCATTTGTTACCATACTTTCGGAAAAGCAAAACGAACTGTTAAAGAAGAGAGAAGTTTTCACGCAAAAACAAAAGGTGAAACTAAATAAGATGACTGATTTGTGTATTCCAGCAAAAGAAGAAAAAAGAACATGTGGCAGCTGCAAGAATAATTTAAGGATCTTTTATCCAATTCAGAAATCATATGTGCATAATCATTTTAAAAATCGACATTCATATGTGCAAAACTGCAAGATACAGCAATATTACAAACTATGCAGCTCAATACTTGAGATATAAATGTGAGACACAGTAGGAAGTATGTAGAAGAAACTGTTGAATGGTTAATTAGACGCGTTTTTCTTGTCCAGAATCCAGGCTGCTAGTTGAACATATCAGGTTTCAACTTCAATTGTGTTTTTTTGCACCAATTTTCATTTAATTCAAAAAGCTTATTCTGCAGCTGAAGAAATGAAAAGGTGCAATTGTTTGCAGATCATAAAATAAATTATAATGTAAAGGGGGTGGGGGATAAGAAAGCATATATAAATTATACCCGTCTATAACCAATTGCTCGAGTTGCAGAGTTTGAATTTGGAAGAATACGTGTATCTAGAGGCCACCTAGCCTCAGACAAAATACCATCTGGTTCTATAAATGAAGCAAAGGAACTTGAATGAATACCACTGAAGAGTTTTTTATTTAAGCAAAGGAAGAAATTTACAACATGCAGACACAGCAACAGCTAAATGCGATTCACATGACTTTCAGATTGAAAAACTAATAAATCTGGCCAATTGTTGTAACTTTGATCAATTAAGAACTTCTATTCAAAGAACAAACACCACAGCTGCTGAAAACGTATGACGTATTACACAGGAATACGAGATTTGAAAATTGTAAAAATATAGACCAGAACAACATGAGCTACATGAGAGCATATTTTCACACCGCAGATCAATCAGCCTATAGAGATCAAGTCTGGGGATTGAAAGGAAAAAACAAATGAATTCATAGTCCAAATCCTTCACTTTATCTTGCTTGAGCCCACCAGAAGAAGACTTTAAGTCACAACACTCACTTGGTTCATTTTGATGTTTGAAAGAATCATACGGGACATGAAAAGCAGAAGGGGGTGACCCACTAGACAGTCAAGCCAAAAGAAACCAGACAAATTAAGATAATTCTCAAGAAACAAGAGCTCCATGTTGTGTGAGTCTGTCTGGTGACATAGATGGAGAAAAGATGATCCAATTATTTATGTACGTTAAAACAACTCAACAGCCATACCCTGATTATCTCAAGACTACGCCTTAACCGATACCAATCATTGGCAGCCAAAGACTGGGCCTTTGGATCACCTGCGTCAACCACAAACTGTACAGCAGCATCCCAGTCTCCGTCCCTCTCAAAATCAGCAAGCTCAGAATATACTTTAGCTGCAAGTTCTCGAGAGGCCTTTGGAACATCTGGTTTTCCATATATATACCTAACATTATAAAAAAAATAAAGGAAAATAGCAAATATCTCCAGATAGGTTGTTTTAAAGCACAAATTCAACTACAAATGAAGTACCAATTATAAAAATTTTGCAACAGCATATCATACTGATGCTTCCCCAGGTATTATAATAAGAAACACAGTTGACAGAGAAGAGAGAGAAACAGATAAAAATCAGGGAGAAGAAAAATCAACATGCAAATGCAGACTGCTATGGGATAAATCAAAGCTCACCTATAGAAAAGGATATGTGGAAACATACCATCACAAATATAATCCAGTCCCACCAGTAACAATGGGAACACGACCTCCATGAAGAATATCTCTTGTCGCTTGCCTAGCATCCTCAAAAAATTGTCCTACAGAATAGTCTGCATTGGAATAACAATATAATTCTTTTATCAGTCAAGTAAATCAGAAACACAGTTCCAAAAGGTCACCTGAAAACAAAGAGAATGTCATGATACCCTTATTGGCATTAACAAGGATCACTAGCAAGTGGCAGCTTACCTTCAGATGGGTGCAAAATGTCTATCAGATGATGTGCCACTTTCTGCAAGGAGATTTGGAAATCATAAATCCTTTCCTTTAAATGCATCAAAGTTTTGAGGAACGATTGACTGGTAGAGCCCACAAGAATTTAAAATATTTTCATACTAGGCAAACAAGACATGAGCTGAATGAGAATTAACTTGTAAACAATACAAGTAGTTTCAGGATAACTCCGGAAGAAAAGAAAAAAAAAAAAAAAACCCAAAGCCTCCTTATATTAAGAGATAAAAAATCATTACTTTAACTGAAATGGGTAACCTAAGACTGGATACATATTACACACTTCACCGGAAAAAAACATATATGTATTAAATCTAAAAGTGTCATAACTAGCGCATTGAGTAATTAAATATAAAAAGGAACAGAAATATAGCAAAATGCGACAGCTTCAAAGAACACTACAAACAGACTCAATCCTACACAGTAATTAACACTCATGGGAATGAAAATTCTTTATAAATTGACAAATAAATATATTGAACTAGAAACAAAACATCATCTCCTTTCAATGTATCAACCAAGAAATGGAAATCCCAGTAAAATATTGCCAAACATGTAATAATCAACCACAATTAGACACCTTTCTATCAGATGGAGAAAGCTTTGCAGATCCAACATCAAGACCCTTATAAACCTGCAATCAAACAACATTAAATGGTACACTTAAAGAGAAAACATGAAATATTTAAGAAACAACTCCTCCCAAAAAAAAATCCCAGCAACCAAATAAAACACAACAAAAACCAAAATCAAACTGCACTAAAACAAAAACCCAAAATTAATTTTCCATTAAAAAAAGGGTATTGTTTAATGAATGAAGTGACCTGAACAGAGTCAGCACTGATGATTTCACCATCGAGACGCTTAGCAAGTTCCAAAGCAAGCCTGCTTTTGCCTGCCCCAGTTGGCCCTGATATTACAATCACTTTCTGTTTCTTCGTGTTTACTGGAACAGAAGTTCAGCTTGTAACTAAGGTTTTTCGACTCTTGCAAAGTAAAGGGAAAATGGGTTTTTGAGGCAACCGAATGCTGCGAAGGTTGTAAATTCCACTAGGGATCATCTCTCAAAATTAAAGTGTTGTGAAAAGATTCAACTTTTGGGTGTTAAAGGCATTTTAGGTTTAGGTGCTACATACGGCTTTGGTACGAGATTGGATTATAGTACCTCATTCCACCAATAAACTGATGGTCAATCTGAGAGAGTAATTCAGATTCTGGAGGATATGTTACAGGGTTGTGTAATTGATTTTCATGGTAGCTGGGAGAACTTTTTGTCTTTGGCTGAATTCGTTTATAATAACAGTTACCAGACCAGTATTCGTATGGCACCCTATGAAGCACTCTATGGGCGTAGGTGTTGCACCCCGATTTGTTGGACTGAGTTACGTGATAGGAAGACTTTGGGACCTGAGTTAGTGCGGGAGACGGAAGACACAGTCAGATTGATCTGTGACCGTCTGAAAGAGGCATTTGATAGGCAGAAGTCTTATGCAGATCAGAGAAGGAAAGATATACAATTTAAGGTTGGTGATCAGGTCTTTTTAAAAGTTTCACCCTAAAAGAAAATATTGAGATTCGGGCGTAAGGATAAAAAGATTCTATGGAAACTGAGAAGATATTGTTTTGTTTTTTATAGTTTTTATTTTTTTTCCTTTTTATTTTACAATTAATTAGTTAATGAAATGTGAGGGTGTGTTTGAATGTTTCATATAATTATTTAATAATTATAATAAATTTTGATTTATTGAATATGTTTATAGATATAATAAAATATAAATATTTTTTCCTCTTCTCATTCACGCACTTAAGTAGACGAGTCTCGGTTGGTTTAGTGGGAATGTAAGATTATCGTATTTGGTTAAAAGAATAAAAGATTATTGGAATGTATATTTGACCAAATTGTCCTTATTATATATTTGTTTTTTTAACAAGTTGGAAAATATTTATATATTTTCTTTAAAATTTTAAATTCATAAAATTTATGTAATTTTTTTTACAAAATTGAAAATATAAAAAGGTTTAATGAAAGTGTAAAATTTTTTATTTTAACCCCTGAACTTTATATAAAATTTTAATTATAGACTTTTTTTGTAAATCTAAAATAGTTTAAGGATAAATTTGTAATTTAACCTTCCTAGTATTTTTATTATTCAATGACAGAATAATGATATTTTTGAAAGAAAAAAAATTAAGGGCATTTTAGTCCAAAATGCTGGTAATCCAACAAAACCTAAGAAAATGGAGGTAATGACATTCCGTGTAAAATACCCTAAAAATCCACTATTGGTAATGTAAGATTACCGAGAATGACATTCTCGGCCAACCAAACGGGGGAATGTGGATTCCATTCCCATGGGAATCTCACATTCCCTCAACCAAACACACCTGATGGTGCATTTGGTTCACGGAATGTAAGATTACCAATGGGAATAAAAGATTACAATGGAATAAGATTACTGGGAATGTTGTATTTTGTGTTTGGTTGATTTAACAGGAATGTAATATTACCATGTTTGGTTAAAGGAATAAAATATTATTGGAATGTATATTTGACCAAATTGTCTTTATTATATATTTGTTTTTTTAACAAGTTGGAAAATATTAATATATTTTCTTTAAAAATTTAAATTCATAAAATTCATATATTTTTTTTACAAAATTGAAAATATGAAAAGGTTTAATGAAAGTGTAAAATTTTTTATTTTAACCCCTGAACTTCATATAAAATTTTAATTATAGACTTTTGTTTGTAAATCTAAAATAGTTTAAGGATAAATTTGTAATTTAACCTTCGTAGAATTTTTATTATTCAATGACAAAATAAGGATATTTTTTAAAGAAAAAAAATTAAGGGCATTTTAGTCCAAAATGCCGGTAATCCAACAATACCTAAGAAAATGGAGGTAATGACATTTCCGGTAAAATACACCAAACAATCCACTATTGGTAATGTAAGATTACCGAGAATGACATTCTCGGCCAACCAAACGGGAAAATGTGGATTCCATTCCCATGGGAATCTCACATTCTCCCAACCAAACACACCCGATGGTGCGTTTGGTTCACGGAATGTAAGAATACCAATGGGAATAAAAGATTACCATGGAATAGGATTACTAGGAATGTTGTATTTTGTGTTTGGTTGATTTAGCAGGAATGTAATATTACCGTGTTTGGTTAAAGGAATAAAAGATTATTGGAATGTATATTTGACCAAATTGTCCTTATTATATATTTGTTTTTTAACAAGTTGGAAAATATTTATATATTTTCTTTAAAAATTTAAATTCATAAAATTTATATAATTTTTTTACAAAATTGAAAATATGAAAAAGCTTAATGAAAGTGCAAAATTTTTTATTTTAACCCCTGAACTTCATATAAAATTTTAATTATAAACTTTTTTTGTAAATCTAAAATAGTTTAAGGATAAATTTGTAATTTAACCTTCGTAGAATTTTTATTATTCAATGACAGAATAAGGATATTTTTTAAAGAAAAAAAATTAAGGGCATTTTAGTCCAAAATGCCGGTAATCCAACAATACATAAGGAAATTGAGGTAATGACATTCCCGGTAATATACCCCAAAAAAATCCACTATTGGTAATGTAAGATTACCGGGAATGACATTCTCGGCCAATCAAACAGGTGAATGTGGATTCCATTCCCATGGGAATCTCACATTCCCCCAACCAAACACACGTGTGTTTGGTTCACGGAATGTAAGATTACCAATGGGAATAAAAGATTACCAGGGAATATGATTACTGGGAATGTTGTATTTTGTGTTTGGTTGGTTTAGCATGAATATAAGATTATCGTGTTTGGTTAAAGGAATAAAAGATTATTGGAATGTATATTTGACCAAATTGTCCTTATTATATATTTATTTTTTTAACAAGTTGGAAAATATTTATATATTTTCTTTAAAAATTTAAATTCATAAAATTTATATAAATATTTTTACAAAATTGAAAATATAAAAAGGTTTAATGAAAGTGTAAAATTTTATTTTAACCCCTGAACTTCATATAAAATTTTAATTATAGATTTTTTTTTTGTAAATCTAAAATAGTTTAAGGATAAATTTGTAATTTAACCTTCGTAGAATTTTTATTATTCAATGACAGAATAAGGATATTTTTAAAGAAAAAAAATTTAAGGGCATTTTAGTCCAAAATACCGGTAATCCAACAATACCTAAGGAAATGGAGGTAATGACATTCCCGGTAATATACCCTAAAAAATCCACTATTGGTAATGTAAGATGTTGAACTATGATTTGATATAACAATTTAAGGCAAAATGGTTTTTGGACTTGAATTGAATTTACAAAATGTTTTTGGACTTAATTGAATTTATTCAAAGTTTTAAAAGGTTTCAAAAAAATTCAATGTCCATTAAATTCGGATTTGAGCGAAAATGCTAAAGGGTCTCAAAGTGCATCCATGCACCCCTGCAGTGCATCCATGCATCCCTACAATGCATCCATGCACCTGCACTAGTACATCGATGCACCATGCATTGCATCCATGCACTCAAACACCGAATGTATTTAGTGCATCGATGCATACTTCTGTGCATCAATGCATCCAGGCTGTGCATCGATGCATCCTGCTGTGCATCCATGCACGAAGGCTGCAACGACTAATAACGGGTAGTTTATTTGAATTTAATGAAGGGGTATCGATGCACCTTGATAGTGCACCGATGCACCATGTTATGGGCAGACTTTTTGAGTAGAAAAATCATCCCCAAACGGCTCCAAAACATCCCCAACGGCTATATACAACATCAAACATATTCCAAGCTATAAATACAAGCTAAGGACACTTGAAGAATAGAGAGAACAACTATCCAAGCAATTAAACACAAGAGAAGAGTTTTTTTATTCTTTTTTCATATTTCTCTTGTAAATATTTTGTTCTTGTGAGCTCAATCTTGTAAACACCTACCTTTGAGAGGTTTATTTGTTTACTTCTTTTATCCTTTTGTAAAGGGGAAAGGTTCTAGCTAATCCCGTGTAAAAGCTATAGAAAGGTTCTAGTTTAACCCGTAAAAACTAGGGAGTTTGTAAGGTTACTCTTTGTCCTCAAAAGAAAGAACAAATTAGTGAATTTGTTGGAAAATCCTTGGTGAGGAGCTAAGGTAGTGGACGTAGACTTTGGTTGAGAAAATCGAACCACTATAAATCGCTGTGCAATTCTCTATCTTTCAATTTCCTTACTCCCTAAACACAAAACCGTTCTGACCCCTCTTTGTAAACCGTTTCGGTTATCGATTAGAGCTTCCTAAAATCCCAACAATTGGTATCAGAGCCTAACTTGTTAAGAAGGTTTAACCACCTTGAGATGATCCTCGAAGAAGCTCTACCAATTCCCGACACAACCGAGAAGATGACTTCCACCTCCGGCTCGTTCCACATGGAAGACTCCCTACCAACCGACAAACCTCCATACTTCAATGGAGTCAACTATTATCATTGGAAGAAATTAATGAAGGTATTCATCCAATTCAATGATCTTGATGCATGGGAGATAATCGAGAACGACTACTCTTCTCCAAAGAAGAAGGAGAAGAAGATTAGTGACAAAGAACAGAAGAAAGCTCAGCTTAATGCCAAGGCCATGCATATGTTGTTTTGTGCATTTGGTCCTGAAATCTATTAAGGGGTTTCTTTATGTTCAAGTGCCAAGGAGCTTTGGAATAAGCTTGAGGAAATCCATGGAAACAAGAAAGAAGAACCAATAAAGGTGGTGTCTCTAATGGCTCGTGAAGAGCCTGAGGTATCTTCTAACACAAATGAATTTAATTCATATACATTTGATGAGTTACAAGATGCTTTTAATAGGTTATATTCGGAGTTTGAGACCATGAACTCCAAATATAAGAAAATGATTTCAAAATTTAAAATCGAAAACGATTTTCTTTTGAAAACAAAAATAGATTTTGAAAGGCAAAATGAAATTTTGAAAAAGGATTTAGAGCTTTCAAAAATAAAAATTGAAAGTTTTGAAAAAGAAAATTTTGATTTAAAAGTTAAGCTTGAATGCTTAACAAAAGAAGAAGAAATCATTTTAAATAATTCATTTAGTTCAATAAT